TCAGGAAACCACTCCCTGACGACAGAGGGAGTACAGAAAACACTTAGGATTCATCAAGGAATGGTGAGAGATCTGAGGGTTCAAATGCCTCCTCTATTAAAAAGGAAATATTTTGCAAAATCTTCTAAAGAGAGGAACTAAATATCTACAGTCATGTATAAGACTCCTCCTGTTACATACAGTATTCCCAACTTTTGATAGTATTTTACACAGATCTTTATCCTGTGTTATAATACCTAGGTGACTGTCATTTTCTTTTGTGGACTTTAACCTCATTTTCTACACAATTAAGCCCCAGGTTGCTTCCCTATTTTTCTCAGTACATCTACTCTTCTTAACAGTGTGCCTTTTGAGGCCTGGCTAAGTATATTTTGGTGATGTAACATATTTGCTTTGTCCAAAATTTCAGAATTCTGTGACATTTATGCCTTGGTAAAGCTCACCTCACAGCTGGTGCCTAAAACTGATATTCATTGGTCACCTCTAACTCCAGCCAGCATGAACTCAATGATTGCATATAAAAAAAAATAATGCTTTTCTTAATCTTTATCTAATGTCTACTTTTCTTTGAATTTCCAAGTCCCCAAATATTTAAATCAGTTCCCTAGGGTCTCCACCATTCTTTAAAAGTCTGACGGCCTCATTTGGCTTACACCAGTGCCTTGGGGTCAGTAAAATACACCTACAAGCTGTGCATTCGGAGTAGGTTCTCATCTGCTACCATACAGCTCATTATCAGACAGATCAAAGTTCACTGAAATGAATAGAAACCTTTAATCTAGGTTTGCCCCTCACACCTGCAAGTGGCTAAGTGCCCTCAGTCTCTGCAATCACAGCTGAGAATTCAGCATGCTCCTTGTGAATTTAAGCTGACAAGGCACTGAATAGAAGTGCAGGCATACAGTGAAGATTGAAGTGGTAGAAAATTGACATAAAAAATAGAATTTAAAACAGAGGGGGTCCCACATACAGCTTCAGGAATATTTTCCTATCTAGACAAGATAATGGCTAGTCATAAGAAAACAACCTACTATAAAATGTGACAGATAAATTAACTTAGAGGCTGCTGGATGAGTTTAAAATGACATAACTAATGTGCTCGTATGCTAGTAAATACCCTAATTACAAAAAGTAAACTGGTAAAAATAATTTCAGATTGAACTATAATGTAAAGAGTAATTTAACCCTCAAGCAGAATCCTACGTCTTTGACACTAACGTAGCGTAGGGAAGAAGGAACGCTGTTTATTTTTAGGGACAAATACAATTTTGAAAGTACGTACTAAAAAAAAATAAAGCAGTGTAATTTTCTTAAGTTTGACCATCTAAAACATAGATGCCTATTACAGAAATAGTGTTTAAGTGTCTTTTTTGGACCAGTATTTCCAGGATTATTTGAATTCTGTAACATCAATAACTCATTCTGCAAATCAGGCAGTGAAGACCGGGCCTCAGGGCATCTGCATGCAGAAAGTCATTAATTACACAAAATACAAAAACTGCTACCAGAATAAGCATGCAAGAAAAGCACACTGTATATAACTGATCCTCTGAGAAGGAGAGAACGGACAATGATGTGCCAAGAGAGAGAGCCCTCAAATGCATCCTCTCTCAGGAATTAAATACATCATGTCCTAAGATGCTGGGTGGCAACAAAACCTCCCTACCTGTTCTGAACAACACGGCAGAAGAGCTAAAAATGTGAATGCTGGTTTGACCTAGTTTTGCATATGCCTTTTATGTTATGAATGAAGCTATCTCCCAGCTTGAAGAACAATAGGAGAATAATGGAATAGGTGAAGGTGGAGAAGAGAGACAACACCAGTAATTTGTTCCCACTAAGGGCAAATGCAGTCATGGACTGGAAACACCAGATCAGATGTAACCAGCAGAAAGAACAGTCCTGGAAAAGGGCAAAATGGATGCAGTGGTCTTGAAAACAATTTCTCTGTTCCTGGGAGGACAGATGTCTGACATATTTATGCTGGTTTGTGATCTGGAAGACTAAGGCTCATTCTCTGTGTTTTACTCTGCTTGCTCAGTTCTCGGTAAGCCTGTTTGAGCTAGGCTTACAGGTATTCAGATATTAAAAGAAAGACATATACCTAGAAGCTTTATGATTTTTTTTTGTGGGTTTTGTTGTGCTGTTTTAGATTTTTTTTTAAAATATTAGTCCATTTGTTTTAACAATTTCAAAAGGACTTGAACAAAAATGCTTAGGTGCTTTTAAAATCCTGCTTTACACTTTTGATTAAAGCCTTTAGAAGTGTCTCAAAAACACTTGCTAAAGGAAGACGTAATACCTCCTCATGTCAATGATCCACTGTGAGGACAGATGCATTACTACAGTGACAGCCCTTAACAAGGCATTTATAAAAAAAGTAGATAGACTAGTTCAAGAGAATTCAGCAAAGAGAAGGCTGAACGCTTCTCTTGCTAAGAGAAAATTCTAAAAATTGCAGAGGTCAAAATGCCTACCTAATGGCAGGTAGGCATTTGTTGGCATGGTCTATTGAGGAGATTATACAATTACTTCGTTTTAAGAATGATCTGTGGATATATTTCCTTTTATTCTGGGACGATTACTTTGCTGCAGCAGTATTTTTGCGTTTCTAACAGTAACTCCTGTTCTGCTCACACTGTTCTGTCAAGTTTATGGCCCAAATCTGCCACAGTATTCAGATGGACTGCAAAGATCTCAAGTTGGGAGCTGCCAATTCCACAGGTTTCCCAGCTTTGGCTTAGTTGTTCAGTGTTAGCTGTAAGAGCAAAAGTTAACACAGTCTATCCCAGCTAGCGATCTAGTACAAGGACCAATAAAACCAGAAATTATTGCATGCTCATACAAAAGTCAGCTTTTTAGCTTGCTTACATCACTGTCCCATTGATTTCAACAAAGCTATTACAATTCACAGAAGCTGAAGATCTTCATCTGGTTCCTGGCTTTTAAAATAAAGAGCTGAAATACCTTCTGAAACACCTGTCAGCAAAACCTAATCAGAATTTTTGCAAAGAATGATAAATAATGTAGAACCATCTTAAATGGGGCACTTTGATTGGAAGAAAAAATTGGCCATAAAATAATAATCTGACCCAATTCAAGTTTATACAAATGCATTATGCTGTGGACTAAACTTAAATACATAATTTAGATTACTTTGGATGAGACTCAGTAAGCATTAGATCATCAAGAAAGCACCAAGAAGTGATGGTCTTGCAGTATGTCCAGTTACTGCAGGAAGCACCAGTTCTGACATCTTCCATCATTACAGTGTGAACATGCTTACACATAATACCAAACCCTGATGTATAGGAGCTCTTCACAATGTGGCATTTCTTTATCCTCCCAGGTAAATATGCCCAAGTTGGCCTGTTTCTTCTGAGTAACTGCATGACTGCTGCAACCACATCAACTTTTCCTAACCTCTGGGTACCTTCCACAGAGGTAAATCATCACCACCATTTCTTTCCTGAGGATAGCTCTTTGACACTGCATCTCTGTGACTGATCTGTACAGATCCTGACTCACCACTAGCACCCTTCAGAGAGTCCTTCAGGTTGAACTCTCTCTGTTCCATGTGGACAACAGTTGTTTTTTTAAAAAGTCTGACAGATTGGAAATACACCCAAAGTCAGTCACATCCCATCTGCACTTTTTCCACACCTCTGAGTGTTTGTGTCTGCTCCAAGATCTCCACAGTCTTTCTGCTACCTGGCTGTTTCAGCCCAAGCATCTTCTGCAGACAACCACACAGTGCCACAGGATAAAATCCAAAATATCTCCTCTTCACTCTAAAGTCAGATTGTCAGGCACAGCAGAAGGCGAAATTTTTAGCATCTGTCTCTCCTTAGGCCCTGGTAACATCTTAGTTTCACAAAGTAAAATCACCTCTATATTACTATTTGTCTGAAATGCTCCAAGTGACTCTTTTCTCTTGTCCATCATGTCCCCTCTCTTTCGCACTGGAAGTTACCAGTGCTAACACACAGACACTTGACACATTAATTTCCTAAATACTTTCCCAGCATCTGATTCTTGGTCTGGTGAATATCTGGTGTGAAATCAGATGAAAGAGCTACGAGTGACTGGGAAGTACAGATAATGTACAGAAATACTGTATGTAGCAACCAGAAGCATTCATAGTGTCTCAGAAATCTTTATATCTTTCTCTAAGCATTAGAATGTGAAGTAGTTGCACAAAAATTCAAATGAAACCACACAAAATATAGAAGAAGGAGTTATAGTAGGAACAGCACAAACTACTTGAATGAAACTTTATTCTGACATCTCTCAATATTACATGCGTGTGTACATGCAATTTGAAGAGCTGTAAGAATTTATTTTTGGTTAGATACGTTGCAACCTACACTATCCACCTTCTCATTAGTCCACAATTCCTTGCAGTGATCCTTGTTTGTATAAACGCTCCTGCATAGTGACAAAAATTTGTGATTCGTGACTTTCCAGCAACAACTGCAAATTAAGCATAACCATTTTCATGGCAATATTTTGCAGGAGTCTCTGACTCAAATTCTTGTAACTCTTTACACCAGCCAACAAGTTTGGCTAATGTATTATCCTTCTAACTTAAGAAGAATAGTAATGTACTCTTTTTTGTTTAAGATTCCAAATATACTTCTGTAACATACTTTGCAAAAAAAAGAATGAGAGACTAAACAAGCACCAGTGATTTCAATTTACTCCTGGAGATAAAACAATGAGTGCTGAAATCCATATGTTTTTGAGATTGGATAGAGCACATACCCCACTGTAACAGAAGACACTAAGCATTAAATGTATTGCTGACTGCTATCCAAAGCTAGTTCTCACCCTTCAAAATACCACTACCTCAAAAAAAAAAATCAATACAAAATTAATTATAGCAGGGAACCTGTGTGGATTGTCTCCAGTGAACTCTGCTTCTTTCACACATAAGTATTTATTGAGCTATTATATGTGAAAGATTAGGTGCTGAGCATATGATGCTAGATAATACTCACAGCAACTGCCTCCAGGATCTGTTTAACAGCATCAGCAGCATCTCGTTCACTGTAGTAACCCTTCTCCACAATCCTACAGAAAAAGCAACATGATAAATTGTACTCAGAATTATGCATTAAGGTAAATAAACTGCAGGCAGAAGAACTCTGGAGTCCTAAAGAGTACAAAACAGCCCTTTTTCAATTCACCTTACCTTTCATTTCTAGTTAAATGAAAAACTAGAGACAAAGTATCAACTGGGTAGGAAGCTCATAACACATACACACTCAATGGAAGGGTTTAACAATTTTCTAAAATTCAGGGAATCTAAGTTATTCTCAGATAAAACTAGGTATCCTTTAGGAACTGCTTTTTCACTTTTATATTTAACTTAAGCTTCTCCTCCTCCACCCTTTTTATTTACTTAGTTATTAAACAAAAGCACTATGCCATACACACAGAGATCTCAATTATTCAATAAAAAGGGTTGGTGTAAAAATCTACTTCAAATTATCCCTTAAGTGTAATGGGCTAAACAAGTGTCTGTCTTCTCTCATCAGTAGAAAATTGGAGGCTTTGTAGTCAAAGAAATATGCTTGTATTAAAACTGACTGGTTTTTTCCTTCTTAGTGTAAATAGCCAGTATGCTAAGTTTATTTTTTCCAGATGACATGAAACAGCGGAATTTTCTAAATGTGCTGACCATGTGCTGCTTATGGTGAGTTCAGCAGTATTTATGAGTTCTGAAGATTCTGCAAATCTGTTTTTCTCTCTCCCTCTGCTTTTTCATCAGTTCACTCTTGTAAAAACAAAACCACAAATTTCTTTAACAATGTAACCTCCCTGGAACATTAATACGATAAAAACATTAAGAAAGAAAATACTTCTCTGTGTCAAGATAACATTCTGAAGTGGTGTATTTCAACATGTTGTACGCTTTGATGTATAGAAAGGGCACCAAGAGTTAGTGCACGTTTCTAGGTTGGCTGCCCAAAGCCCACCTGTGCTACTGCAGTTCCTTTGGAACACCTGCAGTGGCGCAAGGTCTCGGGACACCACCCATGCTCCAAGAACTGCCATTTCAGAATGAAACATTATATAAATCCACTGTTCCCTTAAACAGACTCAGCAGAGGATACAGCCTTGAACAACGACATATACAAAGTTAATAAAAGAAGTATCTACCACCAACACGTACTAAAGCTCCATTTAACACAACAGTCTCTTTACTATTGTATTTAACTGCACAGTATTTGTGAACTATAGTAATTCTCCCACAAAGAGTTACCTAACATGTCAGATCTTTGACCTGGAAGTTCTGATTTTTTGTCATATTAATTTTTCAAAATCCAGAAAAACAGATGCTGACTGGAAACAGAACCTGTGGTGCCTATGAGACATTTTAGAAAACAATCTTATGCAAGCACATAGGCCAGTTTTACAAAATACTGCCCTAAAATCCCCATGAAGCAGGTGAGGAAGAAACCTATAACATCTGACATCAAAAGTTGCTGGAAAGACCTGCTGCCTCAGGGTCCAGAAACATACTCTGTCTGTGGCAGGAGTATACTCTTTTCTCCCCACTTGCCCTGTTTTCCAAAATCTTCTTGTCATTGTCACTTCTCTGAAATAATAGACTCTTACTGAGCTACCTTCAGTGAAACTCCTTACAGCTTTACAAAATGTGACAGGAAATGTGTTCACTAGTGCACGTATGATAAGCGTTACTACATACTCATTAGAAGATTAAATGCAATAAAATGCAAGGATAATAAACCACCAGAAACAGATGTGAACAAGTGTGGCACTGTGGACAAGACCCTATACAGAGATATTCCTAGCCAGTTGCAATTACTTTACCTGAACAGTCATTTTGTTCACAGGTAACTAAGTGTACTCATGTGGCATTGGTGACAGCTAGCAATCCCTCTCTAGCAGTTCTTCTATTTCACCATGACTTCTTGTCTGTCTAATTATTGACCTTATTTCTAGGTTTATTTTTTTTATTATTTGTTTATTTCCTGGTGACCCTTCAGCTACCATCTCATAGGTACTGCTTTTCCTTCTTTGCATTTTTGTATCTCCAGCTTTGGGCATCCGTTTCAACCATCAGGGAGGGATTTACTGGAACTTATCACCACAAGGGGAAAGCAAAGCAAAGTTTACTCAATGAGATATTATGTTAGGCTTTTAGCATCAAGTTTAGGAAAGTGATGAAGAAAAATATTAAATTACACAATAAAATGCTACGTTATGCTTGAAAGTGCAATTCCTCTTTAGCCATTTCAGGCTGAATCATCCTCCTCTGCTAGATTACATGGTGAGACCTGAGCCTTAGTGACCCTCTTACTTGCGTCTTTGTTCCCCCAAATATACTCATTTGGCTTTCTACACTTTTTCAATCCAAATAGTGTAATGCCAGCCAGCAGGTTCTTGTCTGTAGCATCGGTAAGTATTTTGGAGAACAAAGACTTTGTCCCTAACCCACCTTCCCCCTTGCTTGCTGGTATTTTGGATGCTTGCTCCTCTGACCACAGAACAATAGGTATGTTAAAGCACTGTCCTTGTTTTACTGGATTAAAGACATTCACATAATCATTCTGTTAAGCTTGCAATCTTTAGTAGGGCATGGGAGATAGTACCAAAATTTCGAGTTTTGTCAAAAGGCAGTAAAAACAGAAAGTCTGTTGTACTAGTTTGTCCCTCTGCTTTCAAATTGCCATAGATTTTGGAATGTATTCTTCCATGCACCACAGGAAAAAGAGGCATCATGGGGCTGCTGCTGGGCAAGTGCTGCATGTAGGCTGAGTTTCCAGGAGCACGCTAGGTTTAATTCCATCATTGCTCAGGTGTACATCCCCTGGGAATGGGCCACTCTGGCCATGCCCTGAGTTCAGCAGCTGCAGGATGACCTGGTGCACCCCATCTCAGAAACATGTGAGACGGAAAGTTTTCAGGTTTCAACAGGACTTGAAACTCTCTGATTTTCCAGCATACATGACTAAGACCAGAGCAATACAATCCAATTTACATTTCTCCCTTCATCCAAAAAATTTCTAATTTTACAGTATGGTAACCCATTATTTATTCTATCCTTTCTTTTTCAAACATAAACCATGGAGGGGAAGACATATCTTAAATGCAGCCACCTTCTGAAACGCAGTCAGCTTCTTGGTATTTTTCTTCACTCCACAAAATCAAACACAAGATGAGGTTCTTAGCTTCCTGTCAATAACAGAGGAAAGAAAAGCACCAACTACCTGACCACCGGAAATAAGAAAAAGACATGCTCAAGCCTGCCGTCTTGACCACAGCATGCAGAAGACAAGAACACACTAATTTAGACTACTATATGTTAGTACAGATAGGATTCTGCTCTTATTTTTTACATTAAACATATAACAGAAGAAGGACATAGAAGCTGAAGATGAAGCACCAGTGAATTTACACTTACATTAAATAAATATAGTGAAGCATGGGCCCATATTTCAGGACAGCAATAAAAATCAACTGTAGATTTACTGTGCAATGCATATGAATGTGAATACATATGTAACATCTGCTGATGTTACAGGTGGAAAACATGCACTGGCAAGCCAGTTACAGCTTGCATCACATGCAGTTAACTTTCTGGCTTTTCATATGTCTAGAATCCAGGCTTACTGAGCATACAAACCTAATTCTTAATTAATAACAATCTAGCAAGTAGAAAACCTAATCTTCTGTAACAGCAATAAATGAAATAAGACGAAAGATGAAAACTTATTTCTAAGGACAGTCTGGTTCAAAACTAAAAGCTGGCTATTGGGCAGTAAGGAAGAGTACTGAAAGATTATCCTGTAGTTTAGGTCCTGTAATAACACTGGGAAATAATTTCCATATCTATTTTTTGCATCCTCCCTGCAACAGTTTACATAAGACAAATGGTACATGTGCCAGTTTGCTTTATTATAGGAACACTCCTACCTGAGACCAATGAGGCTTCTTTACATGGATTTTTCAATTTCAGCCTGCAGATTAACAATGACTCATTGCCCTTTTTTTTCCATAAAGGGAAATCTGCAGAAATGTCTTACTTTGTTATAGTGGAAGCAAACCCAATTATTTATACCTAATTTACCAAATTACCTTTAAGAAGGATGAGAAAGATTAAACCTTCATTGAGAGGACAGAAAGACAGGAACAGCAACATCAAGGAACTAATTAAATGTGCTCTTTGACATGCAAACAAAAGAGCCACGTAGGCCAAAAGAGTGCTAGAGAGAAAAACTGTGAGGAATACAGCAGGAAATACAGAAGAAGGGATCTGGAAAGGCTTCAAGTCAGAATTAAAAAAAAAAAAAAGCTTGGACTAACACAGAATTTGGAGTCACAAATGTACAGGCAATTCAAGACAATGCTTCAAATCAAAGATGACATTCCAGGGCAAGTAAAAAAGTGATTTTTATGAAATAAACAATTTATATTCTAATCACATTTGTGTAGAATCACTTTTTCATGATTGTATACACTTTTATTAAAATAATATTTTGATATTACCGATTCAGTTGTTTACGCTTGTACATGGCGAGGCACACATCTAACCATATGCTGATGGACACCAAGCTACAAGTGTCCTAAAACACAACCCAGTTTAATCTTGTTTTCTGAAGCACATGTTGAACGTATTTGAGATAAATCCAGCTCCTTGTATATAGAGAAGCAGGGAATTATTTCCCAAAGACTCCTCCTCACTCCTCCTTCCCACTGCTGCTAGAGATGGATATGCTCCCTGGGAACAGCCCTGCTCCCTGTGCTCCTGAGACACATCCCAGCCTGCCTGCAGTGTCTAGTCACCCAGCAGAGCCCATCCCACTGCACCTCCTGACCCAGAGCCCAAGGCAGCCCCACCAAAACAATGATAACACCCCCTCAGCTGTTGCTGAAGCTTGGAGGTGGAAAAGCCTTGTGCTACCAGGTAACTGAGCTGTAAAAAATTCAGTACTGAGCATAACCACCCTTAGAATCACACCATGCAGCAAGCTTGTGGAAATGGTATAATGCATTTCTTGTGATGCATACTGTCATACACAGCAGGTAGCTGAAATTTGGCA